AAATCATAAAAAGAAAAAATAAAAGAGGTGATGAAATTTCTAACCACATTAATCATTATTTTATCCATCTTTCGATCGTTAAATCCAATTAACTGACGAAATACATAAAAAATATAATATCGAAAATGGGCGAATACAGCAGCGAATAGATGAAAAATGACAATAGATGAAAATGTGTCAAACATTTATTAAAATACTCGAAAAATTTTGGTCACGTGAATCCATGATCTTGAATCATATTTAATCCCGCGAACTTAGAAAATGTTTGCAGATGACAAGATAGAGGAAACGTGTTTTTCACTGAATTGGAACAAATCTGGCGCCGTCGAGGCAACATTCGTCTCTTGAACGATATATTGCCCCCTACTGGTGACGTGCGACACGTGAAATCTTTGTCATAAGATAAAACCGGTTAATCACCGATTAATCTCCTTTTATCTTCCAAACTTTTTCGTTTATTTATCAATTCTTTTTCAAACAATTCTTCCAAATTATTTTTATCTTTTCTTCAAATAAATTCTTCAAAGTGTTTTATTTATTTGTTTTTCTTCTTTCGAGTGATTTTTATATATAAAGTGCGATATTTCAAGTATAATCTTGTTTAATTAAACAATGATATCAAACTTTTCAAAACTTATTAAGAAAATTAAATTAATCGAAATTTATTATTACGACTGTCTAAGTAGATCCTTGAATGCTTATTCGCCAATTGTTTCGTGCTATATATCACAAAGGCGTTCGCGACAGTTTCAACAGTTAGTTTTAATTTTCCAATTGTTAACCTCTTTCTGCATGTCCTCGAATATATGCATTTGTTAAATATGTATATAAATATATATGTGTGTTCTTATTGCAGTTCACGGAGCGTCGAGTTACGATGTCACTGGCGTGCAGCGACGATTGGAGAGTTACGAGGTGATTCATAAAGTTAATAACAACCAACACCCAGTTGATTCGACGAGCAATAATCATGACGATGAACAAACGGTTTATGTGTTCGAATTTGAATCCGAGTCGAATGAGAAAGAAGAAAGTCTGCAAGAAGGAAAGGAGACATCTTCTGGTAAGCAATCATTTATCTTTATGGATCTCGATTAATCCATTATAAATTAAATTATTATTTAACCCTGTCGTAAAAAGTAATTGAATGTGATTGACACGAATTTTTCAATTTTTAATTCTCACAGTCTAATCATAAAATTAATTCAAAATTATATTAATTTCTGTCTAAATTTAATTTTTAATCGTCTATTTTATTTTTTTTTACTTATTTTATTTTTTAATTATTGATCATTGATCATTAATTATATATTATAAAACTTAATATTATAATTTAACTCAGTTTCCATTTTCATTATTGAAATAATTAATTACAATAAAAAAAAGTATTAAATTAAAATCTATCAACTAAATAATTCGAATGAAAAGAGTTTTAAATATTTCAAAGATCGTAATAATAATTTATGAGTTCTTCCGTTTTCCAAAATTATTTCATTATTCTCTTAATTATTTTAACTATACGATAAATTTTTTTTAAAAAAGTTAGAATTCTCACTGAACAGATAAAATCAACAAACTAATGATCTCTAATTATTGTTAATGATCAACACACAATATAAATTTTACTCCATGTATAATATTTTGTATATTTACTTAACAGTAAATATTAATAATAATAATAATGACAAATCATCAAACAATTATTATTATTTTACATCTAAATTCTGTATCTATAATTTTAAAACTATATTTAGAGGAATAGAAATCAAACTCAACTATTCGAAAGATTACTTATATATATATATAAATTCTATCAATAAAAAGTCGAAAACAAACAAAAATTCTTTCTATTAACGATTATATCACAGTTTTTCTATACCATTAATCGAAAAATTGGAAATTTTTAGATACGCCATTGTTGTATAAATAAATTGATATAATATGTCACGTATCCAACATCACGCACAGAATTCACGCACAGATTCATGCAACGTAATCGTTCTATTATCAGAATCGCTAATGTCACGCACGACGATTCGTTCGTGGATTCTAGTCGCGATTGATGATATCTCAAAAAATTTCTGTGCCTTATTTGTATTCCATTATCGTAGCAAAATCTTTTACAAAGTATCGTTGGTCACTTGTGACAAAATTTATATATATATATATTTTTTTTTCGAAAATTTATCCCTTCATAGGTACGATATCTTTTTTTTTTTTTTTAAGACAAAGAAAAAGATAATTTTTCATAGAAAGAGATATCAGATTTTAATACGGACATCGTTTAATTTCTCCATTTCGTGCGCTATTCCAATTTATATCTTGCACCTTTTAATCGAGATGATTAATGATTGAAACTGATTGCTCGATCGTGTATCGTCAAATGTAATTTCCATAAGAGCTTACCTGCAATCAGTTGGTAATTGAGATAAATCAATTGCAGCATTGATTTACCGTAAATTTTCAAGAAATTTGCCACTGAACTAATTCTCCAGATGGTACTGTAACGAAAGACGTCAGCAGAGTAAACCAATAATTGCTTCTCCCTACTTTATATATATATACATATCTGTACTGTAATCTATTACTTTAGATTCTCCTATACACATAAATTTGGGATTATTATCTTGAATCGTATTTTATTTCTAAAGCTTTCTTAAAGAAATTTTCTATCGATGTGTAATATATGTGTAAGTAATATATTTTCTATGCGTTTGAATTTTTGTTGAAAAAATATTTTCTTATCTCTTCATTACGAAATTATTATATTACAAAATGGCATGAAAAAATGAAATGTCAAAAATTATTATCGTAGAAGTTTATTATCGTAGATATCCTTATTAACATATCCCTTTCTTTTTTTTTTTTT